TGTTCTAAAAATCAAATGAGAATCAAGATTTCTAACCCTCTACAAAAAATGATCTAGTTTAACCTTTTAACCAAGGTCACAGAGGCAAAATGACTTGTTCAGGGTCTCACAAGGGATTATTAGTAGAACCACTGTCAGGGCCCTGGTATTTTGCTGATTCCTAAATAAGTGCTTTTTACACTGTTCTATAAGGAGAAAAGACCTTTCCACTCTTTCCCACTTCCTCATCTGAGGCTCCTATCAAGGAACACCATTTACTGCTGTTACTTACCTCCACCGCCACAGGAACAGTAACACACACACACACACANTAAAGCAATTTAAAAATTGTAGCAATTGAAAATGCTTGATAGTCCATTAAAACAAGAAAACGTGCTAAATATGATCACAACTAAATACATCTCTCTATACATACATACATACATACATAGGTAATATAGATAAAATAGTATAGATATAAATATACAGGATATAGATATAAATGAAATAATTCTACAGAAAAAGTCAAAAACACATGTTCCAATTTAGGCACAAATGAGAGAGAGAGAAAAAGTGCCAAAATATTAATAGTGGTTATTTTTTGGTGGTGGGATTAGTGAGTAATTTGTATTCATTTTCCTTTTTTGCAGTTTCTAATTTTCCTCAAAGTTATTTATATGAGAAAAAATAATTATTATTTTGGAATGTCCAAGATTTCTGGAATTCAGTCCTTCTTACAGAATTCAACCTGTTGTCATAAAGAAAGAATATGCTTACCTAAGAGTAGCTGGTCTATGCTAATGTATCTTGGTAGATGTAGAGCTGTTACCTGGCTTCCAAATTGTAAGAGAATTTCTTCATATCAGGCTCAATAACATGTCATTCATCAAAATATAGATGAAAAAAATATTAAAGGCAATGGAGCAAATTTAACGGACGATAGGGTTTTTGACAAATTGGAGAACATTCTATGTAAATTCAAAGGAAGTTCCTAGAAGAAGTATTTATGTTACAATTCTTACACTACAGAGGCAGATTCAGCAAAGTTAAGAACCTTTGTTCACATGTTAGCTCAGCAACTTTCTAAATCTGTGACACTGCAGAAGTGCCTTAGCCTCTCAGTGCCTTAATCCCTTTCTCAGCAAATTGTCATAATAACATT